CTGTCAAGCACTGGAAGGGGCTGCCCAGGGAAGGGGTCGAGTCCCCAGCCCTGGGGGGATTTAAAAGCCGGGCAGACGAGGTGCTTCGGGCCAGGGTTTAGTGGTGGGATGGCAGGGTTAGGGGAACGGTTGGGCTTGGGGATCTTAAAGGGCTTTTCCAACCTAAAGGGTTCTGTGATTCTATGATGCCAGGTCACTACAGCCACAGAGCTGGTTGGTCCTGGTGCCACTGGGCAGGGATGGATCCTTTCCTCTCCCATCCATCCTCCAGGCATGGTGGAGTTCATTCCCGACCGCTGTGTGCCCATTGCCAAGAAGGAGCTCATGTACATGGGCACCGTGGGGTGGGCCTGCTGGCTCACTGGCATCATCTTCATCGACCGCCACAAAAGAGAAGACGCAATCGATGTCATCTCCCAGACAGCCAGGACCATACGACGTGAAAATGTGAGGGCAACAGGGGGGAGTCGGGAAGCAAACAATGATGGGGCAAGGGGGATGCAGGGAGGACTGACGTAGCAGGTCCCAGGGTGCTCTGGTCAGGGCCCGTGCTCATGTCTCTCCCTGCCCCATGCAGCTCCGAGTGTTGATTTTCCCTGAAGGCACCAGGAACCAGAACAAATCCATGCTGCCCTTCAAGCGTGGGGCTTTCCACTTGGCTGTGCAGGCTCAGGTAAGGCCCTTGATGGAGTGGGGTGGGTGTGCAGCCTGGGGCAGCGGGATGGGGGACGTCAGGGTCTGTTGGGGTCTGCAGTTCAGAAGGGACAGGCACCCCGCTGTGCAGGACCCAGGGAGGGGACAGGGACCTGCTGAAGCCTGGGGCACAGCAGGAGCTGGGGTCCCATCTGGGGAGGGTGTCCCCTGACCCTCCATCTCCTACAGGTTCCCATTTTCCCCATTGTGATTTCCCCATACTGGAACTTCTTCAGCTCCAAGGATAAGAAGTTCACCTCTGGTAAGTGATGGACAAGAAGCCCTGTTGCTGGAAGGCATGGATGGTGGTAGGGATGAGGCACATGGGGCTTGGAGGTCTCTTTGTGGGATGTGGAGGCGTGGGGAGGATGCCAGTGGTGGAGGATGCCGGTGGTGGAGGATGCCGACGGGAAGACCTGGTTCCTGGTGGGACCATCTAACAGCATCCCCGGCCTTTTGCTTGTCTCTCCAGGGACGTGCACCATCCGAATCCTCCCCAAGGTAGAAACGCAGGGCCTGAGCCCAAAGGATGTCCCTGAACTGACAGAGACTGTCCGCCAGTCCATGGCTGATGCCTTTGCCCAGATGTCTGCAAATCACAACAGGAACCCAGCGCGCTGAGCAGCCTCTGCTCCCGCACTGCGCTGGGGCCGGGGCTGGCAGGGGGACGGGCAGCCTGTCGTGTGAGGGGGACACAACTGGGAACAGCAATTAGGGAGAGGGACTGACTCCCTTGGGGACATAAGGGAGGTGGCACAGCCAGAGGCTGGGCCATGCTGTCCCCTGTGTATCTGTCCACCAGACCTGCCACCGCCCCGGCAGCCTGCGTGGGCAGGACGGGGCCCTGTTGCAGGGAGGGGAAGCAGAGCAGTGCAGGACAGGGTCCCAGCAGCACCCCAAAAACAGTGCAAGGTGCCCCCAGAAGCCCCTTGCCGTGCCTGTGCACCCCCTCTCCAGGGCATTGCCTGTCTCCCCCGTGCCTGGCGCCATGCGTGGCCCTAGGTAGCACCCCCCATCTGCCTGGATGGCTCCTGCCTGCACCCCGTGTGGCGGGGGGAGCGGGGCCCGGGGGG